CTCAGATTTTGTGGCTGTAAATTTAATAAAGGTCATTTGATACATTGAGCTCTACCACCAGCCAGAAAGAGATGACAATGCATATCATCTCACCCACAAAAAAAGGGGAAAAGAAAATAACACATGGAAATTTCAATGGTAAGTAAGAAAGTTTACTGTAAAACGTGCTCATAAATAATGGATGTGTTAAGGAACCAATCATGAGATAACAGGAAGTAATATCAGTCGACAGTCACCACCACAAACAGACAAAACAGAAACTGATCATGTACCATCTAAACCAATTAGAAACTAGCCACGTACCACTAGACCATCAGCGCTTAGTAACATCACTGGTCGTGCACATGGGTGGCAGCTTGGCTTGGTGTGGCCAAAGCAACCTGAATTTGAAACTGAACACAAGACACCACTGGAAATGGAAACACTACAAAGTGACAGTCAAAGAGAAAATCCACATGTTGTTCTCCATATTAGGCTAAAGCAGGAAGCAAGAACCATGTTAAGCCAGCAAAATCACTGCCTAACATTATGAAGTATTACTGTCTGTTACTTAATATATTTCCTGAGTTACATCACTTGATTGTTTCCCATTGCCTGATGGTCACAAAGTTTCATCAGTTTCAGTTATAAAGGGATGGAGTGGCCAGTGAATAAACATTCATGGGAGGAAAGTTTTATATAGAGTGAACAAATGTTCAAAGCAGGGCAAACATCTCCACATAAATTTAGAACAACCCCTGATAAATTAAACTGGCAAGATCAGGAGTAAATTCTTTATCTATAGAGTGGTTAGAATAGGAAACTTACATGTGGAATGGTTCAGATAAACAGCATAAATACATTTAAGGGAAAGCTAGATCATGGCATAATAATTTAATCTTTTCTTCCTTATGGTGATAAGGTTAGACAAAGCAGGGTGGGAACACACTCATCCGGAGCATAAATAGTGGCACAAATGAGGGATTTAAATGCAATTAGGATTGAAGTTCATAGACTTGAAAAGCCAGAAGCCCAGGACCAGTCAGGCTGAAACGCCCACTCATGCATCATAAATTCTAGATTACACTGTGTCGAGTTAGAAATAAACCAAGATTGGTGTAGCATCCAAATTGTATCGAAATTTATTGCTTTGACAGGTGGCAAAATAGAGAAATCTAACAATAGTACATCTTAGAGCAGCAAACTGCTTGCATGCAGAGAGCATCTAAAACAAAAGCACAAGATCTTCATTAACAATGCCCATTCAAGAACAGAACTTCCATTCTTAAAGATGTGAAAGTTAGTGAACGTGAGTTAGACACCATCCTTCTAACCAATGGTTTTTTTTTCCAAAGCCATTCTGACCATGGACTACAGAGTTATTTTTAACCTTTAGGAAAATATCCTTTTGATTTCAAGGGAAAGTAGCTACAACATCATGACTGGCCTGTTTTTGGAAGAGTGGGAAGGTTACAAGGCACAATGAGGCATGAGAGTCTGTTTCTGAGTATATAATCAAGTAAATGTAGTGACAAAAATTGTATTCCATTAAAATATTTCCAACATCCCAGGTCTGATGATAGGTCACTAACCGGAAACATTAACCTTTTTCCACAGTTGTCAGACCCACAGAGTATTTCCAGAAACTTCAGTTTATATTTCAGATTTCCAGCAACTTCAGTATTTTTCTTTCAATCTTATTGAAATAACACAAATATATTTTATATGCAGATCTCATCTGGGTTATTTTAAAAGACGCAATTCAGAGGGAATTTTATAAGGAAGAGTTAGTTTGTACCATAGCAACAGAAGTAAGCCATGCAGCCCTTCGAACTTGTTCCATGATTCAATGAGATTAAAGCCGATTTCTGATCTAACTTAATACCCAGTAACTTCAAAATTCCTCAATCTCAGATTAAAAATTAATAATTAGCCTCACATCAATGAGGTTATAGAAAAATTGCAAACTTCTCCTACCATTTGCATGAGGATGTGTCTCCTAACTTCAATCTTGCAAAATCTTGCTTTAACTTATACCTCAGGGCCTTGATCCCAGATTTGCAAATAGTGAAAACAGTTTATCTCTACCTACATCACACTTTTTAAAAGATTCTTTAATGGGATGTGGGTGTCACAGACAAGGCCATGTATTGTCTATCTTCAGTGCACTTGAGGAGGTGGTGATGAGTAGTCTTTTTCAATCTCCGCTGCCCAGTTCCTGCAGGTACACCCATGTTGCTGTTAAGGAAGGCGCATCACAATTTTGAACCAAAGATGCTGAAGGAACAGCAGTATATTTTGAAGTCACGATGGTGAGTGACTTGGAGGGTAACTTGCAAGTGACAGGGTTCCCCCATATGCCTGCTGCTGCCTATTTTCAAAGATTGTTTGGGGGTCTAGAAGGCGCTTTTTAAGGAGTTGTGGTGAATTTCTGCAATGTATCTCATAAATGGTACACAATGCTGCTTCTGAATGCCGGTGGAGGAGGGAGTGGATGTTTGTGGGTGTGGTGCCAATCAAGTGGACTCCTTAGTCCTGGAAGGTGTCAAGCTTCTTGAGCGTCATCAGAGCTGCAATCACCCAGGTAAGTGAGGAATACTCCATCACACTCCTGACATATGCTTTGTAGATAATGGACAAGACAGGGAGGAGTCAAGGGTTGGGTTATATGCTGCAGGATTCCTGGCCTCTGATCTGCCCTTGTAGCCAAAAAATTTATATGGCTAGTTCAGTTCAGTTTCTAGTCAATGGAAACCTTCAGGATGTTGATAGGTGGGAGATTCAGTGATGGTGAAGCCATTGAATGTCAAGGGGTAATGGTTAGTTTGCCTCTTGTTGGATATGGTCATTGCCTGATACTTGTGTGGTGCGAATGTTATTTGCCAACTGTCAGCCGAAGCCTGGATATTGTCCAGCTCTTGCTGCATTTCGACATGGAATGCTTTGGTATATGAGGAATCGTGGATGGTGCTAAACATTATGCAATCATCAGTGAACACCCCAACTTTTAACCTTACAATGAAGGGAAGATCATTATGAAAGCGGTTGGAGATGATTGGTCTGAGGACATAACCCGAGAAACATATGCAGTGATGTCCTGGAGCTGAATCCTTTGCGAGGGCTCCTTGAGGCCACACTTGGTCAAATGTGACATTGATGCTGTCATTCTCACCTCACCTCTTGAATTCTGCTCCTTCTATCATGGTAGCATCATGAAGGCTACAACATGGTCCTGACCGAACACAAGCTGAGTGTCACTGAGCAGGAGCTGCTTGAAAACACTGTTAATGACAGCATTCATTGACATCACCAGATGGCTTGCTTGACATCACAAGAGTAAATCAAATTGGCTAAAGGCAGAGATGGATCATCCACTTGGCACTTCCAGTTGAAGATTCTTGCAAATGTTTCAGCCTTATCTTTTGCACTGATATGCTGGGGTCCTTCATTATTCAGGATGAGAATGTTTGTAGAGACTCCTTCTCCAGTGAGGTTTTTTCAATTGTCCACCACCATTCACGACTGGGCATGGCAGGACTGCAAAGATTAGATCTGATCTGTTGGTTGTGGAATCACTTGTCCCTGATTACTACTTGCTACTTATGCTGTTTAGCACATAAGTCGTCCTGTTTCTTCGCGTCTCCACTGTGATAGTTCATTTTTAGGTATTCCTCATGCTGCCCCTGGAATGGCCTCTGCACAATTCTTCAAACCAAGGCTGATCATCTGACTTGATGCTAATTGTAGAATAGGATACATGCGAGGTGTTGAGGTTACACACTGTATTGGAGAATAATTCCATGCTGCTGATGGCCCGCAGCATGCCATGGATGCCCAGTCTTCAATTGCTGGATCTATTTAAAGTCTATCTCATTTAGCGTCATGATAGCACCACAGAACACAATGGAGGGTGTTCTCAATATGAAGACAGGAATTTGGAGTCAAAATGAACATGTGGTTGTCACTTTTAACAATACAGTCATGAACTGGTGCACCTGCAGCAGGCAGATTGTGAGAATGACACCAACAATGTTTTTCCATCTTGTTAGCTCCTTCACCTCATCATCCAACACAGACCCAGTCCAGCAGCAATGTCCTTTAGGATTGCACCAGCTCAATCAGTAGTAGTGCTGCTGAGCCACTTTTGGTAATGGACATTGAAGTCAACCCGTCCAGAGTATCTTCTGTGACCTTGCTATCCTGAGTCCAAGTGCTGTTCAACATGGATGAGTCTTCATTAGCTCAAGACTCTAATCAGCAAGAGGTTTCTTTGACTACAATCTGAAATCATTTTTGGTCAGATCAGATAATGAAAGCAGTTTCTTTTTCTTCAGGACATTAGTGAACCAGATTTATATTTTATGACAATCAACAATGAGGTCATCATTTGACTTCTGAATCTAGATTTCTATTGAATTAAACTTGAACTGTCTGCTATGGTGTGATTTGAACCTTAGTCTCCGGAGCATTATCTGGATCTCTGGATTACTAGCCCAGAGATAATACCACAAGGTTATCACATTTCCTCAATATCTTGAGAGCTTTGAACAAATCACCCCAAAGCATCTAGGGAATTCAACATTCATTCTCCTCATAATTTAACACGTGGTGTCATTCTGGTAAATCCACATTGGACTCCTTCAAAAAAAATCAATACATCTTTGCTAAAGTGTGGTGCCCAGACCTGAACACACGAACTTTCAAGTCTCTTAGGACACATAACACATTATTCCAGCGCTAAGGCACAGCTGTATGTATTTAGTGTGTGCCGTTAAAGCCACAGCTCTAACTTTAATAGCTTCTGCTGCTAATTAGAAGTCGACTAACTGCAATGAAATCAACAGTGGAATTTTTGCATTGAATGGGAAGCGATGCACTGAAATGGAATAGACAAGGTAAACGTCTGCAGGTCACATTCTGATAAAGCACTGTATGCATAACATGAACCCATCTGAATATAAACTATACACTGCCATTCACTGAAGTTTTTATTACCCTTGTGAGCTCCCTTGTTCTCATACCTCAGTGCATTTCCCTCTTCTTTGGTGATGCTCTGGTCAGTCATAGCAACCTGCTTCTGAAGTACACTCAATTCTGCTTCAAGCTGTGAAAATAAAAATAAATATGTCAACTTCACTTTCAGGAGAAATTATGCATCTTGCCCAAACCAAAAGGCCATCACTGTCCTGTCTGTTTGCCAAGCAGAGAAAAAGACAGTCAAGAATCCAGCATTGTCTCACTTTCCATTCTGTTCAAAGCACTCAGGAACTAAGTGAAACAACACTGGATTCTGCAGTATTTCCACTTTGGTTACAAGTAAACATTCCAAGCAAATATGAGCATTCAAAATAAAGGCTGTCATGAAATTGTGTTTAGAAATACAAAAATATATAGCTTTCTAGATTTTAATATGATGGAAAAATACAGGAATGCACAATGGACACAGTTAAATACTAATTAGCACAAAACAAAGCATGACACAACATATCTTTCAGAGAACTAGTCAACAACTATCATTCGTAGTTCTTTAATCCCATTACAATCTGCTCTGTTTAGGCTGTCATGTAATTCAGTAAATTCCCTTCCCAAGTAAAACTACAAGCAGAGAATGATCTGTATGTACAATGTAACTGGTGTACAATACAGACTAAGTATGTTTTCCATGTTCTGTACATAGAACTTGTTGGGTTTTTAAGGCAAGTAACAGCTATTAAGTAAGTGAATAATTTCCAACATTTTTGGTATTTTGAATTTGCTGTGAGCAAGGAATGAGTTTGGGTTCTAGCATCCAAAGGTACTGATACATATTTATCGTGGTTGTAGAAGTGTTTATTTGACAGGATGAGAACTTTTCAAAAGATTCAAAAATCAGAAAAACAAAATGATATATCTCTCCAAGCAGAGTTTACTGAAGTAGGATAGTTTTGTGTCACGGAACCAATTCTAAATAAGCTGTGATTTCTTGTTCTTGAACAGATAGAAAATTCAATGAATTGACAATGCAGATGGTGCCATCTAGTTCTTGCTAAGGAATGTTGCCAGTTGGAAAATTTCAGTGCTTCTCATATAAAGCTGCTGTGTTTACTGAAAGCATAAAAATAGCCAAAATACATGAAATAAATCTATTGATTTCCAACACAAATTTGTGCCACACGGCTTTCTTTGAAAACCCAATATAAAATTAGCTGAGTGGTCAGAACAAATCAGGACTTCCAGTACAAAATGCCTTCAAATAGTTTCAGAACTCCATATATTGAAGTGCAGTTTTCTGATCATTTACGACTGATTTTCTAAAAATAATCAAACTTTATTTCAATTCAGAAATGTTAGAGAAAGCATATTGAGTTTGAAAACATTACAAATATGATACAAACTTCAGACACATTTATTCAATCTTTACATTGCCATTGGCAGTGGTTTCAATCTTAATCTGCCAGCAAGACAGTATTCCAATGCTTGATCGCCAGTGAGGCACAGAAACTCTGATTATTGCTAGTATTGGCATATTTTGTCACTTCTAGCATCATTCGACTAAACACACACACTTCAATCTTAGGCTGTCAGCAAGTATGATACACAGAATCCAATTGCACATTGTTATCCCGTTGTATCATTAAATGCTGCCATCAAAATAGTCATGGTTTATGCTCTTCACTGATCTCAAAATGCACATGTATCATTTTCACAAAGTCTGCAAGATGCAAAACATCTACAAATCAAATGAGTTTCATCCCCACTTGCATCTGGCAACTAATGCTCCAACTGGTGTTGTCACAGACTTCCATTTTCAGTGGGTCTACCTATGCCACATATAGCTGGAAGGCCACAGCTGTGCTTTTCTTATGTGTTGAAGACTATATAAAGCCTGTTCATGATAATACTTGCTCCTAATCTAACTGATAAAGGGAATGAACTGATAAGGTAGCTCCAATTGCATGGTAGCGTGCTCATTTCACCTAGCTATTCAAATGGAGAAACTGCACATTTCAACAGGTTCTCTGCATCAAATTGATCAGTTGCCTGAAAGAAAGTCTATCTCTTCCTCTTTCCATGGAGGGGATGATTTTTAATATTCATTCACAGGATGAAAGCATTGCTGGCTAGGCCAGCTAATTCACTAGAGGGCAGTTAAGAGTCAACCACATTGCTGTGGGTCTGGAGTCACTTATAGGCCAGACCAGTTAAGGATGACAGTTTCCTTCCCTCAAGGACATTAGTGAACCAGATGGATTTTTCTGATAATTGACAATGGATTCAGGGTCATCATGAGACTCTTAAATTCCAGATTTTTATTGAATTCAAATTCCATCATCTGCCATGGCAAGATTCAAACCTGGGTCCCCACAACATTACCTGGGTCTCTGGATTAACAGACCAATGTTAAAACCACTAGGCCATCGCCTCCTCTGGTAAGTGATAAAGTCCATCAAATGAATCAAACAAGACAAAGACCTGGTCTAGATGACATTCCAACAGAAACTTGAAGTGTACTTGGATAAAGTGGACTAACAAATCTTCAAGAGTATGTGGCATGAGGAAAAATTTGCACATGGCCTCAAGGAGCAACAAAGTCAGCATCTGGAAGCAGAAAGGATCAAAAACCCTATGTGACGAGCACCAAGCAACAATCTCTCAAATGCAAGAAAGATCCTTACATGAATCTTATTAACACATTCATTAGACAATTTGGTAGATCAAATGCTGCTGGAATTAATGTGGTTTAGGACCAACTGCGGAACAGCAATATGGTGCTTGCAGCAAGACAATTTCAAGAAAAGTGCAGACAGCAACATCAGGATCTGTATATGCTGTTCAGAGAACTAATAGAGACCTAAACTAAAGCTTTTGAGCGTGTGAATTTACTTGGTTTATGGCACCATATCTCCAAGCTAGACTAATCAAACAAATTTGTCAAAATCTGCATGATTCGAGGTGTTTATGCCTACAAAAAAGACGTTTAATGTCTTTAACATAACCAATGATCCAGAGGTAGGGTGCCTTGTGACTCCCCAACTCTTCACTTTAGTCTGCCATAATGCTCAAAATCTCACTGGACAGCCCTGCAAGTTCAGATGGGTGACAGCCATTGTGGGAAGATCCTGCATGCAACATCAGGAGTGGAAGACAATGGGCTTTGGATGGAGGTGGGTGCAATGCCCGAGTTAGAATGACTGTGAGACAACACACTGAAGATGTCAGCACTTACTCTTGCAGAGTACGCAAGGTCATACAGCTTCTCCTAGCACTGCTAGGCATTCCTCCAAACCGGGCTACTTCAGGGCAGGCTTGCAGCCTATGAAATGGTGTGCAACTAGGGTTTAAATATGGAGGCTACAGCACGAACAGCACAAGGTCCCAGCACCAATGAATATTTCTGCTGCTCCTGAGCACAAAACTGCATGAGAAAAGTCACTAGGGCTCAGGGAGGGAAAACCCTCTATGAAACTTCCCAAATTGACACAGCTAAATTTTGGAAATTTTTTTGCCCTACTGGCACTTGCAATGAAGCATCAGACATAATCATTGTTGGCATTAATTTCAAAGTTGTAAATTAATTCTCATAATTTTGCAGTGTACTCTGTCAGGATGTTGCGAAGAAGATACCAGTGAACACTTCCAAAAAGCAAGTTCAGCCTACAGCCTACACACATGATCTTGCATGGAAGAAGCAGAGGAACACAGAAAATAGAAGCAAGAGTAGGCCATTCAGCCATTCAAGCCTTCTCCACCATACATTCTGATCATGGCTGATTATCCAAGCCAACAGCTTGTTCTCGCTTTCCCCCCTTATCTCTTTAGTTCTGAGTGCTCTATCCAATTCCTCCTTTAAATCAAACAATGTTTTGGCCTCAACTGCTTTCTGTGGTAGTGAATTCTGCAGGATCACCTCTCCCTGGGTCAAAGAAATTTCTGCTCATTTCAGTCCTAAGTGATTGACCCCCATAGTCTGAGACTCACCCACTATCAAGAGCATCATTCCTGTGTATGTCCTGTCTAGTTTTGTTAGAATTTTATGCATTTCTATGAGAATCCTCACTCATTGTTTTAAACTCCAGTGAATATAATCCTAACCAATTCAATCTCTCCTCATTGCTTCTTGGGTTGGTTTGACTGATCAGTCTGGTAAACCTTCCCTGCACTCCTACTACAGCAAGAACATACTTGTCAGATAAGACCAAAACTGCACACAATATTTCAGGTGCGGTCTCATCTGTCAGGATGTTGCGAAGAAGATACCAGTGAACACTTCCAAAAAG